TTTACCTTCAGTTCCTCTGGTTTTCCTCCTAATTCAGCTTGCAAACGGAAACCAGGCTGATCTTTCCAGAATAACCAGTCATCTGGTCTTGTCAGAAACACCTGTGGTTATTCTTCCCTGCTGTGGGATATATCCACTGACATCTTTCTCTGCACCCTTTAGCCTTAGTGGTGTCAGGAGGTGGAGGTGGGCAAGGATTTCCCCCCACCCCAGCCCTACGTCTCTTCTTCCTTCCTTCCTTCCTTCCTATCTTACTTCATTCCAAATCTGATTCATCTCTGCTTTGCACTGACCTCCTTAACCTCATTTATCATTCATACTAGCCATTTTTTGTTGGGCTTTCAAGCCAGCCAGGTCCACGGGGCTTGGTATTTGTGGTATAGTTATCTTCACAGATGTTTTTTCAATGACCTTTTCCTATCTCTCCAGGTCTAGTTGAATCTGTCAACTCCTGAAAGGCAGGGCCAGGAGGATCGGCTTCTTTATCAGATGGGGGCGGAGACTGTGTGTGTGTGTGTGTGTGTGTGTGTGTGTGTCTCAGATGGGGGCGGAGACTGTGTGTGTGTGTGTGTGTGTGTGTGTGTGTGTGTCTCTCCCTCCTCCCTGGGGGTAGGGGCCTCTGCTCTGGAGGTGGGAAGTTGAAATGGTTGATCCCGCCCCTGGAGGTTCCAGAAGAGGAATGTAGTCTTCCTGAGCACCAGACGATGGTGCCTGGCAAAGAGGAATTGCTACACTTTTAAATTAGAGTGCGCCCCGACCCGCCCCCCTTGCAAACGGGAAAATGGGACATCCAGCGCAGATCCTGAGTGACCTAGGGGACCCAGGGACTTGGCCAGGAAGAGGTTTCCAAAGCCTGAACTCAAGCCACGCGTTTAAGGGACCCTCTCTATCCACCTGTAGTATGAAGAGGAAAGCCCTCCCCCAACAGTTCTTGATCTGGAGCGCTCCCAATTTCTGCAGGCGCCTTCTGTCCATCTCTGTGTGCTTTGAGTTTTCCCTACAGCTTCCTGGGCCTCTACGCTCATCTGTAAGCTTTTTCTTCTTTTCTTTTCTTTTTTTTTTTTTTTTTTTTTGGTTGTGCTTCCGAGAGACTGACTTTTAACAACTTTCTCCTGGCTCCCCCAGGCTGTCCGCAACCTCCTCTCTCCTTTCGCCGACGCTCCTGGTTCTCTCCACGCTCCCAGCTTACCTCCGCCGCTGCAGTGCGGCCCCTTCCCTCCCGGGTCCCCTTCCCAGCCCCCGCGGGCTGCCTGCCTCGCCCCGAGGCGCCCCTCGGAGCTCTCGCAGAGTTGGGGGGTGAGGGGGCGGGAGGCCCAGCCCCGAGGAGGGGGCGGTGCCGCCTCCAGCCCCGGTCTGGGCGGGGTCCTGGGAACGGGCGGAGGCCCAGCCGCGCCCCCAGGCCCCAGCGGCGGCCCGCGCCCCTCGGACGGGAGGAGAGGGGCTGGCCCACTGCCAGCGTCTGAGAGCCGGCCCCCTCCCCCGGCCCGCTCGCAGCCAACCAGGCACTCCAGCGGGGCCCACGTGACCTGGAGTTCTAGACAAAGAAAATGTTCAAGCCCTCCCCCCCACCTCCCCCCCTCCCCCTCTCTCTGGCCCCCTCCGCCCCCATCCCCATCGCCCCCTTCCCCTCCCCCCAGACGGGCAGCTACTTACAGAGCTTCAGGGCCGGGGCTCACACCTGAGCCGGACCACAGAGGGGCTGCACCTGGCCTTATGGGTAGGTTCCTGGACGGAGCCCTGGGGAGACTGGGGGCGGGGAGGCGGCAGGGGCCGGTGGGAGGATCTCTGGGCCGCTGCAGCCCTCTGGATTTGAGAAGAGTCAAAGTCGGCCTCCCTGGCCCGAGTTCTGCAGATGCTGAGTTAGTGCTGTCCCACCCACTCCCTCCTCAGGAGCCCCCAGCCCCACTTCTCCCTGTGCTCAGGTGGGACCTGGCGGTGCGAGGGCCAGAAGAGCAGTCCCAGCGTGTGCGCCCGGGGCGGCAGTCAGTGAAGGCTGGGGGGCAGGCCCTGGCCCGGGGGAGCTGCCAGGCCAGGGGCTGGGCTGAAGGAGTGCGTTGGCCGAAGTGGCTGGCTGATGGCTCGTTGGCATTTCCTTGCTGACCTGTGCTCCTGGCTGGCGGGCCATGCCGTCCTTGGGCCATGCCAACCTTGCACCCTCTTGGGAGGGACAGCTTCCTCTCCTGCGTGTCCCTGGGAGCCACGGGGCAGGCCAGGCAGAGAGAAATGGTGCTGGGTAGTAGGGAGCAGTGTGGCCCTGACAGGGGCTGCGGCACGTCAGCGGATGCCTTGCGGGGGGGGGGGGGGGTGCAGCCTGAAGATGACCTGGGATGGGAGAGGTGCCCGGGACAGCCTGGGATCCACTGCACCACACGGGCACCGGCCCTCTGACCTTTGGAACAGGAAGCAGAGGAAGATGGGCCTGGACGCGGAGGCCTTGCTTCTGCTAGAGCGGAGTTACCAGTGGCTTTCCAGGGTGGACGAACTCCAGACGAAGTGGCTTCCTTGAGCCACAGTCGTGGGGGCTGGCGAGGCGTCTCCCCGGTCCTGCCCAATCTCTGGGCCGCTCTGGAGTGGGACCTTGTGAACAGGGAGCAGGAGCCCAAATGCCAAAGCCCTGAGTTAACCCTTCTTTCTCCCATTGTTTGCCGGGGGAGGAGGGTTGGAGTGAGCGTGGAAAAAAGGCATTCCCACACTGCCCTAGGCAGACTATTCTAATGAGGCCCCTCCCCCACCCAGCCACCGTCTCCGCCACTTCTTCCCCTTTCCTCCTGCCTCCTGCTGCTAACCCACCCCCGTTCTCCTTCCTCCACCCCTGCCGGCCTTGTCCGATGGAGGCCCCTTCCTCCTCCTCCTCCTCCTCCTCCTCCTCCGCCTGCCAAAACCCTGCTGGGTGCATGTTCTCCTGCACCTAGTGGGTTGGGGGTGCCTAACAGCCGTCAGCAGCAGCATCTGACAAGCTGGGGGAAGTTGTGGGGGAAGAATAATGTTCAGGAACTCGCTGTGGAGGGGTTGAAGAGAGACAAAGGGGCTGTGGGGGAGTGAGGAGGGTGGCATCAGGCACGATTCCCTTCTAGACGTGGGGAGCCCGGCACCCACCCACTCCTGCTCGCTGTGCAAGTGGCTTCACCTTTGCTCAGAAGGCCCCTCCTGCCCTGTGCCACCTGCGCCCTGTTCTGGCCAAGAAGCGGGGTCTTTGGGTCACCCACGGCGGCACCCTGCTGTCGATGAGTCATCCATGCCTGACTTTCCTCGAGGCATGGTGTCCCTCCGAGAGAAGGTCTGGAGCTTCAGCCGTGCTGCCACAGCTGATTCTAGAAGAGGACGGAGCGCACACCCAGGCGAACCTTCTGGTGGGGGAGGAGGTGGTAGATAATTGATGGTGGGAAGAAGGGGAGAGCAAAGTCCCGGCAGGTGAGGGGGGGCTTGGGAGGCAAGAACAGTTGCTGTGCATTCTTCCACCGCTGGCATCCAGCTCTTCTTCCCAGCTGATTGTGGGCTGGGGGCAAAGGATGCGGTATCTGATCTTAGAATTCATGGAGTCAGCGGAAAGAACCAGGACTTCATCCTCAGTGTACCAGGGCTCTGCCAGGAGCAGGTTTGGTCAGTGGCCTGGAGACAAAGACTTGAAGGAAGACCTAAAGGAAACAAATCTACAACACAGTAGGCCTTTGATCTTAAAACAAAGGTTCTTCACCTGGAGCCCTGGGATCTGGGAGTCCATTGATGAGCTTTTTGGAGAGTCCTTGGAATTCTTGATACTTACTTACATCAAATTGTTAAGGCAGTCAGAAAAGGGTAATGGAAATCCTTTAGAGCAAATGCTTCTTTAGGTTGAGCAACTTGGAAGAGAAAGAAAGGACTGCTCCAGAAATCAGCTGTTACCGCCAGGCAAGGACGGGAATCGGAAATGTGGGTGCTCCGACCAGCTTAGAGCTCATACTCCAAGTTGCTTTGTGATATTCTTGTTTAGTCCTGAGGATGGGCTTGCATTCACAGCTCTAACCTCTCTGGGAAAGCTTCATGTTGAAAAGCATATCGAATATGGGATGTTTCTCTCCGAATGTGGTGGAAACAGGTGCAGAGCCTTGAAGTTTGAGATTCATGTGTCCCTCAGATTTGGTAGCTGGGGTGATGCTAGGTGGAATGGTTCTCAGAGCTAAGGATCAAGGATTTCGTTCTTTTCTGTAGGGTGGTGAGAATTGTGCAGCAGGTTTTGGGAAGGATGAGAGGGATGCGGTGAATGGGTGGAGACTGGCCAGTTGGGAGCATAATTGGGTTTGGATTGTAGGATGGCAGAGAGGATGTATGGCCTGTAGTGTGTTCTCAGTAAAGAACTGTTGAAAGAATAAATGTATTTATGGATCTGAAAGGTGTGTGTAGAAAGAAGGGGCGAATCGGAAAACATGCATTTGATCCAATCCTAAGAACTCCAAATGGTGTAGGAGCAGGCAAGCTCTTGCAGCTCTTTCGGTGAGGTTCGAACAGAGGGGGAACACGGAACAGTGATTTCATCCTTGGTAGACATCACGACAAAACTGGATGTGTGGTCTGGAAGCCAAGACCAGGAATAGAAGGGGTTGATTGCCCAGGAAAATTATAAAGAAAAGGACAAGAGGAGCCAATTCGTGATTGGGAAGGAAGATAGGAGAGGACGGAGCCAAGATCTGTGCGTAAGCTGAGGCACACAATTACTCTCTGAATAGAATTCATCTTTTCCGTGTCAGAGGGTGGGCAACTGATGATGCTCACCGATGAAGGAAGATTTTTGTGAGAGGCACAAGAGGATGTTGGAAACCAGCCAACTGATTGGAGTTCACCACCCCAACTTCAGATCTTCCCGTTTTCCATGGCCAGCCAGTTGAGTTGATGAGTTAAGAACGCAGCTCTATCCTTCTGTCACTCTCTGGGGCAACCAAGAAATTGAGAAGAGGCCCCCAGTATCAAGGGGCCTTGCTAAGTCCCGGAGAGGTCAAGGTAACTTCTGTTACCTCTTTCTCCAGGCTGAGAAGAAAGCCAAGGTGATCGCAGTAATGAACGCCGTGGAAGAAAGCCAGGGGTCTGGCGAGTCTCAGAAGGTGGAGGAGGCCAGCCCTCCCGCAGTGCAGCAGCCCACCGACCCTGCGTCCCCCACTGTGGCCACCACACCTGAGCCTGTGGGAGCCGACGCCGGGGATAAGAACGCCGCCAAAGCAGCCGATGATGAGCCAGAGTACGAGGTGAGCGGCTCGCTTCTTCACCCGCCTCGTCCAGCTCTTTCCTGGGTCCTTCCACTGCCAGCTCTTCCCGTCCTGCTCTCCTCTCTCCACCTGACCCCAGGCCTCTTCGTCTCCCCAGTCTTGCTCTGTCTCGGTCATTCAGATGGAGCTCCCTCCTGGCTGTCCTGACCCTCAGATGCCCAGGGCTGGGGTTGCCACGGGGGGATCAGGGTGGCAGGGCCTCGTGACCACCACGTAATGACTTCTGCTCCTTGGGGCTCCAGGACGGCCGGGGCTTTGGCATTGGGGAGCTGGTGTGGGGGAAACTTCGGGGCTTCTCCTGGTGGCCAGGCCGCATTGTGTCTTGGTGGATGACGGGCCGGAGCCGAGCAGCTGAAGGCACCCGCTGGGTCATGTGGTTCGGAGACGGCAAGTTCTCGGTGGTAAGTTGTGCGGTTTGGTGGTAGCCTCAGGGAGGGACGGGTCTTGGCCCCGGGGGTAGCTGTGGTAGTTGGGGGTGAGGGCCAGAACTGGGGTGGAAGAAGAGGTCTCGGAGAGCTGGTGCGCCTCACCTGCAAGGCTCTTGCCTTCCGGGGCCCTTTCTCCAGAACTCCTTTCCTGCTTGCGTTCACGTCCTCCCCCCTGAAACGCTTGGGTTAGACTCCTCCTTTGAGCACCACGTAATCGTTGGTCGATGCAGCTGGTTCTCTGTACCTGCCTGCTGCTGGGCACACGGTGGGGACTCTGGTGTGGCCAGAGCAGCAAGGGGGCGTCGGTGGTTGTCCCTCCAGGTGTGTGTCGAGAAGCTGATGCCACTGAGCTCGTTCTGCAGCGCTTTCCACCAGGCAACCTACAACAAGCAGCCCATGTACCGCAAAGCCATCTACGAGGTCCTGCAGGTGAGCGGCCCTCTGAGGCAGAGGGGGCATAGGCAGCAGGGACCCCTGGCTGGTCTGGAAGCTGGAGAGCAGCGGTTAGGCCCAGGCAGGGGGTCCGCCCGTAAGGCCCTGGGGAACCTTTCTGCACTCCCTCCTCCAGTGTTCTCCTGCAGCCCTGCCCCGCCCCTTCTCCCAGCTCTTGCCTCCGGCCACCTTTGCTGTCCTCCGGCCACACGTCTCTCCCTGGGACGCTTTGCTGCCCGGACGCCTCCCCCACACGTGTTGCCCTCCAGGTGGCCAGTAGCCGTGCGGGGAAGCTGTTCCCAGCGTGCCACGACAGCGACGAGAGCGACACTGCCAAGGCCGTCGAGGTGCAGAACAAACAGATGATCGAATGGGCTCTCGGAGGCTTCCAGCCCTCTGGCCCCAAGGGCCTGGAGCCACCCGAAGGTAAATGCAGGTGCTCAGCCCCGCCTTCTGGGACCCCTGCCAGCCAGGCAGCTCCATGCCAGCGCTGGGAAGGCTCTGCCTAGAGCCGCCAATGCCTCCCGCCGAGAGGCCCGGGGAGAGTGTCCCTTTCCCTGGGGTTGGCGTGGGGGCGGTGCCGCTCTGGGACTCAGAATATGATGCTCCCATTGGCTTGCTGACACTGGGGGGCTGGGAGCTAGAACAAGTTGGGGACCAGGCTACACCCCTTTGTAGGCAGAACAGAGGAAGGGAGGGTGCTGGCACTGCTTGTCCGTGGTAACCATGATCTCGTCACCTGCTTTCCTTATCCAGAAGAGAAAAATCCCTACAAAGAAGTTTACACAGACATGTGGGTCGAACCCGAGGCAGCTGCCTATGCACCACCCCCACCAGCCAAAAAGCCCCGAAAGAGCACAACCGAGAAGCCCAAGGTCAAGGAGATCATTGACGAACGCACAAGAGGTAGTTGGCCTGGCTCTGGAGAGAGCGGCGTGGCGAGGCTGGCATTCAGAGGCGCGGCGTGGCCCTCGCGGCCCCCTCTGATGCTGGGCTCTCCTCCCCTCCGCAGAGCGGCTGGTGTACGAGGTGCGGCAGAAGTGCCGGAACATCGAGGGTGAGTCCTCGTGGGCGCCGATCCCTGGGAGGTCCGTGGTCCGTGGCTCCCAGCACGGGCAGGAGGGCTTGGCCCAGGCAGAGCAGCATAGGTATTTAGAAAGGTTCGAACGTCATGGGATGTCAGCACCCAGTCAAGGCTTCTGTCCTGCGTGTCCCACCCTCAGCCTGCTTCACACTTTCCTGTCATGACGTGGGCTGGTGCTTAGGGTTTGGGACACTCCGGTGGGTCAGGGAAGGGTGGCCTCTCGGATTTACTCGAACCTGCGACCTTTTGGCCTTTTACTTTTCCTCACCTTCTCTCGCCCCCTTGGTCGTTAGAACATCTTGTGTCTGTCTGCCTTGGCCTAGTCTGTCCAGCTCGGGGCCCTCAGGGCTGGGAAAGATGGGGCAGGAGCACAAGATTTAGGACAGCCCGGGGACTGGACTGTCTCCAGAGTCACCCAGGGTCAGGGCCTTCTTCTCATGGGCAGGCTCCCGTCCTCGAATTATGCCTTTCCTGGGCGGTAGGCATTGCCGCTCTGAGAGCTAATGGGCATCGAGATTGGGGCCCCAGTGCCTCCCTGTTCCCCGGGCGCCCTCCCAGACTCCCGTCTGCCGCCTTTTTGGGCTGTGGCTCCAATGCCTCCCCCCTTTTCTTTTGGTAGCTTTTCTGGAGTGGGCCTTGGCCCAAGGTGGGAAAGGGCCCTTCGATGACATTCACTCCACTTTCTCTGCTGTCCCTGCTTTCTAGACATTTGCATCTCTTGTGGGAGCCTCAACGTCACCCTGGAGCACCCTCTCTTCGTTGGAGGAATGTGCCAAAACTGTAAGGTAGGGGCAGAGACATGGCCGAGAGAGCTCTGGGGCCCTGGCTGTCTTGTCTGCACCTTCTCACCCTCCGGGCTGATAGTTGCCTGGGCTTGTAGTCCCCCTCTAATGCCCCTTCTGATCCCCCCATGTGGGTTCACCATGTCACAGTCCCTGGTGTGGGGGAGGGAGAACGGACCGACGGATGGATGTCCTTGGGGACCCAGGAGAAAAGTCCAGCGCCGCAGCAAGGGACAAGGGGGTGCGGTTCCCTCCCTGGGCTTGCTCTCACGCCTCTTGATCCTGTGCGCTGCCCTGGGCTGGGAGACCTGCTGTCCCTTGCTCAGACCTGGGTTCACAGCCCGCCTTCGCCGTGGCCGTCCTGGCTGCCACCTGGTGGTCCCTGACCCTCCGCTCTGCTGTCCAGAACTGCTTCCTGGAGTGCGCGTACCAGTACGACGACGACGGCTACCAGTCCTACTGCACCATCTGCTGTGGGGGCCGCGAGGTGCTCATGTGTGGGAACAACAACTGTTGCAGGTGAGGGTCCCTGCCCGGCCCACGGCCCCCCCACCCCAGCTGAGCTCCATCCAGGGCCGAGAGCGTGCCCCCCTCCCCAGCCCAGCCCGTGGCTCCGGCCGTGCTCCAGCCCTGCTCCAGCCCTGCTACACTGGGCTTCCTTCCAGGTGCTTTTGTGTGGAGTGTGTGGATCTGTTGGTGGGGCCGGGGGCCGCCCAGGCAGCCATCAAGGAGGACCCCTGGAACTGCTACATGTGCGGGCACAAAGGCACCTACGGGCTGCTGCGGCGGCGGGACGACTGGCCCTCGCGGCTGCAGATGTTCTTCGCCAATAACCACGACCAGGAATTTGTGAGTGCCGGGCCTGGGGCGCCTCTTCCCATCCCCTCCCAGCTGGAGCCCGAGGGCAGGCTCGACCCAAGCAAGAGTGCTTGGGTTGTCACGGGGCCTGGGTGACAGGCAGGGGTGCAGGCCTGGAAAGCCAGGGCAGCCCTAGTGCGCTGGGGGGGTTGGGGGGCGGCCCCGGATGCAGGCCTGCAGAATCCTCCTGGCCGTTCACCTGTCTGTTTGTGCTCGTGCCTAGGACCCTCCGAAGGTTTACCCACCTGTCCCAGCCGAGAAGAGGAAGCCCATCCGGGTGCTGTCTCTATTCGACGGAATTGCTACAGGTGAGTGTGTGGCACGGACCCCAGGATGTGCCACCGTCTTGGTCCTGGGGCAAGGAGGCTCTGCTTGAGGGACCGTGCGCTTGTGACTCTGGCAAAACGAAATGATGGTTAACGTGACAGCTGTTAAAATACTACCCCACGGAGGAAACTTCTGTGTTCAATGAGAAGTAAGATCAGTGGTAAGCCAGCATGTTTCTCCATGGGGGAGGCGCCCCAGCGGAGGACAGGGTGGTCGTTAGCCAGAGATTATTGAAGATTTTCACAAAGCCTCAAAGGACAGACTCGGCGACCAAAACAAAAACACAGGCCGTTCTGTTATCTGATGACTGTAACTCACAGTATTTAAAAAAAAAAAAAAAAAAAAGAAAGAAAGAAAAAAAACTATCAACAAGAGAGTCTAAAGAACATTTAAATCACCCATAATTCCATAATTAGTGTTTTGGTGTCTGTCCTTTTTTTTCTGTGGGTCTGTGAATGTGTGTTTATATAATCATGCATAGATAGATAAATAAAGCGAAAGGATAGTAAAATGCACACTGTGTTGTAACTTGCCTTTTCATTTGCTACCATGCCTGCTTTTTCCTGGTAACATGGCCATCCCTTATTTGAAAATGCTTCATAGGATTCCATTGGGTAAAAATACCATCGTTTATTTAACAAGCCCTCTGTTGGGTTGTTTACTATTCTCTATTATGAGTAGTCCTTGACGACATCCTTATGCACACATACATATCATTATCTACTTAGACTATTAGGGAATGCTGGGTCACTGTATGGGAAGTTCTTTTCATACAATCCGACAGTCCGATCCTTGACCTTGCCAGAGTGCCCTCCTGCAAGGTGCTACTGACCTCTGTCCATCTGTCATGGCCCTAGGCCAAGGGCTTCTCAGTTCTTTTTTTTTTTTTTTTTAATGTTTATTTATTTCGAGAAAGGGAGAGTGTGTGCCAGTTGGAGGGACAGACAGGGAGAGAATCCCAAACAGGCTCCACCCCATGAACCAGGAGATTGTGACCTGAGCCACCCTGGTGCCCCTGAGGGCTTTTCAGTTTTGTTTTGTTCTTAATGTTTGTTTATTTTTAAGAGAGAGTGCTAGCGGGAGAGGGGTAGAGAGGGAGGAAGACCCAGAATCTGAAACAGGTTCCAGAATCTGAAGCAGTTTCCAGGCTCTGAGCTAGCTATCAGCACAGAGCCCGATGCAGGGCTCGAACCCACGAACTGTGAGATCATGACCCGACCCGAAGTCGGACGCCCAACCGACTAAGCCACCCAGGCGACCCGGCTTCTCAGTTCTTAAGAAAGGAATAAGCCTCTTCAAAACTTGTGACCAGAGGGAGGTGGGCTGTTAGAGGGCCAGGGCAGGGTAGCATATCAGGCCAGATGCTTATGTGCTGTTCTCAGCTCAGTGTTGATACTATGTAAATGTAGAGAAGTTAATTTACAGCCTCGGCTTCCCAGGCCAGAACCTTGAGGCCTTCTGAAACCACGTCACGCCCCGGGCAGGCCGTGGAAGCCCCTTGGTGGAGAGGTCTGTTGAGCAATGGAGATGGTGCTGTTTCTTCAGAAACTCTCAGGGTCTCTTCTGATTGTTTCGTTGCCCTCCATACAGCAGGCATTTGTGGAGGGATCGTGGTGAGGAAGCGAGTGTAGTTCACTCAGGAGGGGAACACAAATGAGACTCCGTCTCTGTCCTGAAGACCATTTGCAATCTAAGGGCTGAATTAGAAATACACGCTTGTAACAAGTCGGAGAGAGATGCAGAGTGCTAGGGGCTTCCAGGGGACTGCGGGGTAGGGGGTGTTGGTGAAAGCCTTTTAGAGCAGGTGGCATTTAGGTTGAGTCTTGGAGGCTGGGTAGAATTGCAGCAGGAGGCCGTGGGTGAGGGATGAGGAAGGCCTGGTATATCCAGGATGTAGAAACAGCAAAGAAATGGCCTCCCAGAAAGTCACCTGCTTTTCTCTTTGGTCCTGAAAACCACCTGTTGTCTGCTCTTGACTGCCTTCTAAGTAGATCAAAGGATGCGTGACAAAGGTCCAGAAGGATCCTGCAGCTTACCGGGCAGGGGAGGGCTCAGGCCTGTTGCTGACCCATGTGTCTAGCCAGCCAGAGAGCCCCCTGCCAAGATGAGGGTGCTGGGAAGAAGACCCAGTGACCGTGCCTTTTGCTGGCTGGCACAGGGCTTCTGGTGCTGAAGGACTTGGGCATTCAGGTGGACCGCTACATCGCTTCCGAGGTGTGCGAGGACTCCATCACGGTGGGCATGGTGCGGCACCAGGGGAAGATCATGTACGTCGGGGACGTCCGCAGCGTCACACAGAAGCATGTATGTCAGTGCAGTGGGATCCGTCCCACCTTCTCTGCGTCCCTGGCACTTTGCTCCTGGGGGCGGCCACAGCCCCCTTGCATACTTTTCATTTGTTCCTTTCCTTTCTCCTTTTCCCCGGCCTCTTCTCTCCCATCTTCCTCCTGTCTGGAGAGGAAGATGGGCAGCCCCTGGCTAGTCTCAGGCCCTATTTACCAGAGCACCTTGGTTCCCGTTTTTCTAGTACTTTTGGCAACAGCTTTACTAGCCTCCATTTCGGGGGTGGGAGGGCTCTGGCAGGGTCTTGCCTGAGTGACCCTTTGTCTTTCCAGTTACCTGTGTCTACCCCTGAACCTGCAGGCCCTCGGGGATCCCCAGGGGCATTTGGAGGGTGTTCAGATGGCCCAGATGCCCCGCCCAAAGTGTGCAGAGCACAAAGTAGCCTCCCATTGAGCCACCAAGCCCAGGCTGCCTTCCCTCCGAGGGGCAGCCTCCCTCCCTTTTTTCCCTTCCTCCTTTTCCTGCCGGGAGCGTACTGTTTCCCTGCTGGCCTCAGAGGTTTTCCAGTTGATTCCTTTACTTTGTTTAGGAAACTGGGTTCAGAGAGCCTCAGTGACTCGGTCGTGGTGCACTGTGTGTGTGTTGGGGGGCGGGGGGGCATACATGTGGTATGTAGATGCAAACGTGTGTAGCGAGCCTAGCGAGCCGCTGGGTGTCCCCTCTCTCGTGCCAAAGTACTTTTGTTGCCAGATTCACAGATAATTTCTTGATTTCTGCCCCTGTCCCCGGACATCAGGCTATCACGTTACCTTTATCCTCCCAGATCCAGGAGTGGGGCCCATTCGATCTGGTGATTGGGGGCAGTCCTTGCAATGATCTCTCCATCGTCAACCCTGCCCGTAAAGGACTCTACGGTAGGTGCCGTGCTCACCCCTCCACCTTCTGAGCTGGTGCTTCCGCACGTAGGTTTCCTACTTGGATATTTCTGCCCTGGGACAGCTACTCCCAATGACCCTGTCCTCCCTTGCCCTCCCTGTGCCCGAGCCACACCACTGTCTCATGCAGACAGCCCCAGCTGATGGCTTTCTCTTCCGACCTCTCAGAGGGCACTGGCCGGCTCTTCTTTGAGTTCTACCGCCTCCTGCATGATGCGCGGCCCAAGGAGGGAGATGATCGCCCCTTCTTCTGGCTCTTTGAGAATGTGGTGGCCATGGGCGTTAGTGACAAGAGGGACATCTCGCGATTTCTCGAGGTATAGCCAGCAACCTTGGTTTGGCCAGCTCACTAATGGCTTCTACCTTGGACTGCTGCTTTATCCCTGTCTCATCTGCATTGTGGAGCTGGGGACTGGTGACTTCTGCTTTGCAAGGGGCCTGTTCGGGAAGCTCAGGGCTTCCCAATTAGACAGGGAGGAAACACTGTTAGAAGCCGACCCTGGAAAGAACCCGTGGTCTGACTCTGAGAGAGGTAGTATGTGGGTGTGGGCCTCAGTGCTTGAAGGACTGTTCCTAAGTCAGGTGGGGTGCCAGACTCCTAGAGTTGGGCTTCTGTGTGGTGGTTCACTGGGGGAAACTTTGAGACGGCCAGATCCATTTTCCCCAACCAGAGTGGCTCGCCCTCACTGCCTGGCACCACGGCAGATGTTCTGTGGCCCCTGGGAAGGAAAAAACATGGCTCACCTGTGGGTCCCAGCTCAGCTCTGAACCAGCTGGAGCCGGACACGCAGGATCTCCGTGGCCAGAGGCATTCTCGGGGTGGGCAGCCCGGGAGCTCGAGCCCACGCTCCCGCTTGGTGTTCTTACTTTAAGTGCAAGCAAGCATCTATGTGGCTCATAATCTGGACACACAGTGAACACATCTACACTCACTGGAACTTTCTTACTCAGAGCCTCTGGGTGTGCTAGAGGTATGTAGTCCAGTAGGGTAGCCATCAGCCATGCGTGGTATTTAAATTAACATTAAAATTCCGCAGTCTTTCTAGCCTCATCTCAAGTACTTTAGCCAGTGGCAGCTACTCCATTGAACAGTGCAGACAGAAAACCCTTTCCATCATCACAGGGTGTTCAGTTGGACTGCAGTGGTCTAGAATGTTCTGATGAGAGCATGTGGAATGTGGCTGGGGTCCATTCTGGCTTTCCCTAGAGGCTTCAGGCTGTCCCACTGTGTGGCTTCCTGAGAGAAGAGTAAGCGCCTTTGAGGCTGTAAGGCTCTGAAACTAGCAAAATTTCCTGGCGCACCCTCATTTTCCTCCGTCGCTCATCTTTAATCTTTCTCCTGTTTCGTAGTCCAACCCTGTGATGATTGATGCCAAAGAAGTGTCAGCTGCACACAGGGCCCGCTACTTCTGGGGGAACCTTCCTGGTATGAACAGGTTGGTGAGAGCACCCGGGCCTGGGGTGGCTGCGGGTTGGTGTCTACGAGCAGCTCAGCCCAAGGAGGAGGAGGTCGTGGAGGGGCCCTCACGGGCAGCCTCCTCTGCCGACCAGCTTGCTGCTCTGCCATGTTTTCCTCTGTTTACTTCTCCTCGAGGGAGGAGGGGAGCCAGAGCATAGAAAATATTTGCCTGAGAAACCAGAAATAAATGACTGAGATAAGACCTTTGAAAGTGCCCTCTTTACACCAAAGGAGAATTCCCATGCTGCTCAGTTACACAGTTGGCACTCCTGCACCGATGACAAATCTAGACTCCGCTTGTCCTTAGTCTCTGGAGGTGGACTTGGGATGGAAAGGAGTGGTGCCCACAGCTGGGCCACACCTGGGTCGGGAGAGGGAATCTCAGAGCAACACTGTGCAGCTCAGAGAGTCCTGCTTCACCTATTATCCACACACTTTGTTAGCTTCAGGTCCTTTGTTGGAAGGATGTTCTTTATTTAGTTTACATAGGTAGAGATTTTAACGTCCAGATAGTCATGAAGGCAACTTCATTTCTTCAGTGGAATAAATGCATTCTAAAAAGGCCTATGAGGAGAAAGGAATTCTGGTTGAGAGTCTTGTTTCAGAGCAGAGTGAGATCCACCCAATCTAGATAGCTGTTCTGTAGGGAAATATTTTCCAGAATGTTTTTTTTCTTCCGGAATGTTCTAAGAGTGGATTGTAAACCTCGCTATATCTATAAATCAGAAACATCGTCTAATCTGGCCTCAGTCTTCTCCTCTCCCCCTCAGCCATTAGCGTGAAGTTGTAGGAACATCCCTAATCTCCTACCCGTTTAGCAAAACTGCTGTCTTTTGTGAGGGCTTATTGATGGGAAGGAGATGGGTCAGCGCAGCAACTTGGCCTGAGCTGTTTCCACACCTGCCCTCCCAAGCTCCCGTGGCGTACGTGTACTGCGAGGGTAGATGGGGTCACGCAGTCCCGTATGTCATGGAGCCACTAACTCAGTGTCTCCTCACAGACCTTGGTCCTGTGGGATTACTCGCACTTGCTTCTTCCGACTCTAAAATTCTAGAACTCTGAGCTTCGAGGAGGAGCAGAGAGAGGTACCACAAGGGACCAAGTAGAGTGTGTGTGTGTGTAAACAGGGCGGAGGCTGGAGGCGTCCACTCAGGCCGTGGGTGCCTGTGGGTCCCACGCTGAGATGGTGGACGGCCGTGGGAAACCTTCATTAAGTCTTCCGAAAGGTCAGAAAAGGTCAGCGCCCAAGGTGATGTTCAGTGATCCGCTCTGCCCTGTGAGCAGTGATGCATTAAGTGTCACAGAATGTTAGTCTTCTGGAGACTGTGTAGAACGTAGGCCTTTTTAACTGTACATTTCATCCAGTGAACACACCCATGTAAACCATCACCATAGTCAAGGTCAGAACCTTTGGTCACCTCCAGAGCTTGACAGATACTTTGAAAGCTCAGTGTATTTTAAGACGACTAACAAGAACAATTGGGTTTTCCTTCTGCTGGGAAGGTATTGTCTGCGTACTTGTAGATTGAGACCACTGTGGAATTTACCTGTAAGGATGAACGCTTGCTGGCCTGTCCGTGGATGGCTGCAGTGTGTGTCTATGTTTTGGGGGCATTTGAAGGGGGTTACAACGTGTGTGGGTGACATCGGCCCTCTCTTCCTTCTCCGTGTGAGTCATGGCCTCCATGCTGCTCTCCTGGTCTCTGTCGTTACCTTCTCTTTCTGCCTCCTAGGCCGTTGGCATCCACTGTGAATGATAAGCTGGAGCTGCAGGAGTGTCTGGAGCACGGCAGAATAGCTAAGGTGAGCAAGGCCCCCACCCCTGCACCAAACCCCTCTGCTCGGGGGCAGGGAGAAGGGCAGAGAGGGCGGGGTGAGCCGGAGCGGTCTTTGTGTGTCCCCAGGTAGTGTGGAGAACACACTTTAGGAGGTGGCATGGGGTCGTGCCGCCAGTTGGCCAGAGGGGAGGGCCGGGGGGACAGCCCGGAGGGCAAGGAGAGAGATCCGAAGTCCTGCCTGGTCTTCGGCGCATCCTCCATTGAGCATCACCCGCTGGTCCTGAGGGAAGCAGATGCTCTCATTAGATGGATCCGCTAGGGCTTTTCAGTTTTTTGGCCAGGACCTCTTACACGAGCCTTCGGGACCACACATTCTCCGGTATGCGGAAGCTGCACCGCTCCCTGGAGAGGTGTCCCAGAGTGAGTGTACCAGGCGTCAGGGTCCATGAGAGCAGGCGTCAACAGTCGCCAACGCTCTGCAGGCAAGGCGACTGCAGAGGTGTCTGAGCTCCTGAGTCACTTGGCTTCCTTCCGCCTGCAAGTCCCCTCACGTGTGCAAGAACCGGTTCCTAGAAGACTTAGGAGGTTCAGTCCTCGGCTCGAGCTGCTACCTCTCAGGTCCTTGGCCAGCGGGACTGGACTAAGGATGGCGGGGTGACCTCAAAGTAGGACAAAGAGCAGGGCATTGGGGTCTGCAGTCGCTCACGCCGGGGCCTCACCCCAGCCTCCGGGACGGACCAGGCCTTGTCAGTGTTGGACATGCCAGTCCCGGCCAGTGCCTGGCACACGTGTTAGACACACGGCCGGCGAATGAGTGCTCACTCTGCTTTTCCTCTCCCTGTTTCTAGTTCAGCAAAGTGAGGACCATTACTACGAGGTCGAACTCCATAAAGCAGGGCAAAGACCAGCATTTCCCCGTCTTCATGAATGAGAAAGAGGACATCTTATGGTGCACTGAAATGGAAAGGTAGTACCGAGGCTGGGTGCTGGTGTTGGGGGGTGTGGGGTGTGTGGTGGCGGCTGTCGGTAAGGGAGGAGGGATCGCTGGGTCCTCCCACGTATTTCCTGACAGGGCAGCTTCCTGGGGAGGACTCCTGTGCGTCGTAAGGTCGGTCACACAGGGTAAGAGGGGTCTAGGAATCGGGTCATGGTGCCTTGGCTCCCAGAGGTCCTTGCTCAGACTCCTCCTAAGCTACAGAATCTTCCTCCACTTGTGCTGCTCATTGTAGGTGCTTTGCAAACCAGGGCAGCACAGGACCAGGCGGGTCTCACAGCCTCAGCGCTCTGATCTGGTGCAAACCAGACACCCGGGCTAGATTGATTACCTGCTCAGGGTCAGTGTAACCACAGCTGAGCCAAAGAAACCATTTACACAAATGACCAGAAGAAACAGGAACTTGGAGCTTCTCAAGTCAGGCAGGAGTTCAGCTCCTTTATAGAGTCTTCACTCTTGTGGGGAAGGTACTAGGGGGTGTGTATTTATTTACTTAAATGTTATTTTTTATTTCTGAGGGAGAGAGAGAGAGAGAGGGAGGGAGGGAGGGAGGGAGGGGCAGAGAGAGAGGGGGACACAGAATCTGAAGCAGGTTCCAGGCTCTGAGCTGTCGGCACAGAGTCCGAGGCTGAGCTCGAACTCACGAACCTTGAGATTATCACCTGAGCCGAAGTCGGACGCCTAACCAGCTGAGCCAGCCTGGCATGCCTAGGGCTGTGTATTAAGCGTAGACTTCGATACCTGCTGCATCTCCATCTTTGGGAGACAAGAGTGTTTTTCACAAACGCTAACTTTATTTCTGCTGGGCAGTGACTCCTGGGTGGCAGGGGGCCTGAGTCCTGATTGGTGATGACAGAGGAGACTGAGCAGGATGGCTCACGCCCACCCTTAGCCCCGCCCTTAGCCCCGCCCTCTCTGCCTTCTCTCCCCAGGGTGTTCGGCTTCCCTGTCCACTATACCGACGTCTCCAACATGAGCCGCTTGGCGAGGCAGAGACTGCTGGGCCGGTCATGGAGTGTGCCGGTCATCCGCCACCTCTTCGCTCCGCTGAAGGAATATTTTGCTTGTGTGTAAGGGACATGAGGGCAAACCGAGGTAGTGACACAGAGTTAAACAAACAAACAAAAAACACAAAACACAACAAAATACCAACAACATGAGGATGGAGAGAAGTATCAGCACCCAGAAGAGAAAAAGGAATTTAAAACAAAAACCACAGAGGCGGAAATACCAGAGGGCTTTGCCTTGCAAAAAGGGTTGGACATCATCTCCTGATTTTTCAATGTTAATCTTCAGTCCTATTTAAAAACAAAACCAAGCTCCCCCCCCCTTTTTTTTTTTTGGTCAAACCTTTTGTTTTCTACTCTTTTCAGAGGGGTTTTCTGTTTGTTTGGGTTTTTGTTTCTTGCTGTGACTGAAACAAGAGGGTTTATTGCAGCAAAAATCAGTAACAAGAAATAGTAACAATACCTTGCAGAGGAAGGATGGGAGAAGGAAAAAAGGAAATTCTATAGAAATCTATATATTCGATTTTTTTTTTTTTTTTTTTTTTACTATATATCTTTTTTGTTGTTGTTGTCTCTAGCCTGATCAGATAGGAGCACAAGAAGGGGACAGAAAACAGTGGCACTCAGCGGCAGAATTCCCTCCCAGCCACTGAGCTGTGTTGCCAGCACCATTCCTGGTCAAGCAGAACAGAACCCAGCTAGCAGCAGGGAGACAGAACACACAAGACCCTTTTATACAGTATTTCAGGTGCCTACCACACAGGAAACCTTGAAGAAAATCAGTTTCTAGAAGCCGCTGTTACCTCTTGTTTACAGTTTATATATATATGATAGATATGAGATATATATATAAAAGGTACTGTTAACTACTGTACAACCCGACTTCATAATGGTGCTTTAAAACAGCGAGATGAGTAAAAACATCAGCTTCCACATTGCCTTATGTGCAAAGGGTTTTAACCAAGGATGGAGGAGGGAGGCAGCTTGAAGGTGAATCATTAACCATGGCGGGCTTTCCCCGTGGTCTTTCACGAGGTGAAGGAGGAGAATTTGGGAACCGTGTTCTCCCGCTTCTCCCTGCCAAAAAGGGGGGTGAGATGAGGTGGTCGGACCGTGGAAAGCTCAGAGTGGGATTCATCCAGGCTCACGCAATAACCTTTTGATTTTTTTTCAAAAAGGAGACTCCCTCGGCAAGATGGCAGGATAAGGGGTCTTCATTCCCAATTTCTCACATTAGCCGATTCGAGGGCTCCTTGTGGTGGGATCAGAAATAATCCAGAGTGTGGGCAAGTGACAGTTAAAACCCCACCTGGAGCAAATAAAAAAACATACAAAACGTACTGGTGCTTTCCTGTCTAAGTCGCCTTTTGTGTGTTCTTTTATGAGGCCCTCACCATCCACCCTCTGTGCACAAGGCGGCTTCTGGCCCCTGGAATGTGATGTTTTTGGTCATCTCCAAAGGCTGCAGTTTTATACTGGGAGGCTGATGACACCTTTTGTTATAATTATTCTTATGGTTCTGGTTATAATTATGTTTGTTTTCAGATTTTCTTTGAGAAAACAAAAACCCAACCCCCCTCCCTTTCGGTTTCAAACCAAGGTGCGGGGAGCAGGGTGCTTCTGAGTTAGTGGGTGGCCCTGGTGCCCTGGCTCCTCACCCCTCGGGCCAGGTGGGCCACCAGGCACAGTGACAGCCGGGCGGCCAGAGGAGTCCCCGAGGCCGGCCTTCCAGGCGCGTCCCTCTTCTCTTCTCCCTTCCTCTCGAGTCCCGGGTGTCAGGGCCGGAGGGAGGACCGGGCCATCTCTCTCCTCGTGTGTATGATTGGAGTGATGTGTATTTCTTTTCTAGTACTTGGTCTCATGATAGCCGGGCTCTCTGTTGGAGCCGGCAGCACCTGGAGCCCCCGAGCGCACTGACCCCTCCTACCGTGGCGGGCGGCCTGGCGCTGGCGGTAGGCAGGGACAGCACTGGTGGCTCCGGGGTGAGGGCCCAATGGGCAGATGTTTGCCTGGATAGATGGGGTGTAGATATGTGGCATATAGAGATATATATTTTATAATGGGAGGGGGGATGGCACCTCCTGGGACTGGCAAGGCTGGGAGGTGTGCTGTCAAGCACATGGTCCCAGGTTCGCATCCCTAGAAAGATAGGGCCTACGGTGATAGGCGCTATATAAATACATAGATAGGGTCACGTATAACAGATACTATGTAGTGGGGAGCGGGGCAAGGGGCCTCAGAATGCTGGGCCTCGGTCCCATTGCGGACAAGCCCCACGCCAATCAATCAGTCCCACACGCATACACAGGAACAGATTTCTACCGATTCAGAATGGGTGCGCGTGTGCACGCACGCACGCGCGCACACACACACACACACACACACACACACACAGCCAGGGGGCTCCCAGCGCTCTTCTCCCCAGGATTCAGGACTCCGTGGCGTCGGCCCTGCAGCTCTTTACCTCTGTTGCCCTGATTGCAGGTAGACCGTCAATCCCAGAAGTTGCTAGGTGCTGAAGGCAGGAAAAGGAGGAGGTTTTATTTTCGCAGGTGCTCTCCTCTAGCAGGTAGCGTTCTATCTCTTTTGCCCCTGGTGATGTCAAAAGATTCTTCTGTTAGCAACCTGTGATACTGACCTGCAACTCTAGGCACCAGTAAAGTCAGCCCTCGACTCCCCCTACCTATTCTCCCCCAACCAAAATAAAATTGACATCCAGGTCTGTCTTGGCCAAGGGGGCTTCCATTGGAAAAAAAAAAAAAAAAAATGGGACAGTGAAACTCATCTTTGGAATAAAGCAAATTAATAATTGGTGACAAAACTAAACCAAGGCTTTGAATCCCTTGCTCACTGTTCAGGAGCATGCGCGCGGCTGGTGGCCACAGCCTCCCCGTTCCTTTTAGAGGTGCTTGGTCCTGGGCCTCAGGCTACTCATTTCCTTGTCAGATTGGTTCTTAAAATCACAGCCAGTTGCTTCCTGCCGGCTCTGTGTGACTTCGGTGGCAGGTGGCGATGGTGGGCCCCCATGGGGCCGGAGCAGCTAGGAGCGGGGGGGATCCCTCCGCCCCTCCCTCGTTGGAATCCCTGTACTAAACCGTGGTGCTTGCCCCGTCCCCCCCCCCCCTCCTCCAGCCGGGCTCCATCCTCCTGGCCTGGAGTTCACCAGCACCACTGCGGGAGGGCTGTGGGGAGGAGGGCTGCCTCAGGCAGTCCAAGGTGCTCCCTCCCCCGCTGGCCAACACTAAGGTCTTGGCAGTCCTCGGTGTCAGGACCGGCTCTTCCTGGGCCTTTCCTCTGCAAACAGACTTTCCAGCTCTCCCGGCCCTCCTAGGCTTTTTGTCCACTGCTTACATGAAGGAGTTTGCCTTTCCCGATGGCCCAAGCTCCACCCCGGGGGTCGGTGTGGGGAAAAAACTTGGTAGCCACGGACGTGGCAAAGCCTGAGGACTTAGCGTGGGCCGGCCGGCTTGCTCGGAGGCCTGGTGTTTGCGGGTGATAACCTAAGAGGGCTGTTCCTCCTGGTCTGGCAACCTGACTCGGCCCCGGAATGGGCCGGATGACAGTTAATAATCACCAGCTTTTCTTCCAGCCCAAGCCATGGGCTTGGTCCCACAGTAGACTTTGGGAGGGGGCAGGGGACCTTGGGGATGTGCCAACCTGGCCGATGCTCTCAACAGCCTACTTCCAGCCCCGTCAGGGGCGCTTCTGGGGACGCGTATCTGGTCGCCTTCTAAAGGAGGGCTGTGCTTTGGCTGAGGCAGGGCCGTGCGAGGATTAAGGCGAGGATTAAGGCGGGGATCGTTACACTTGCTGTGGGTGAAGTAGAGGGTAGAGAAATGGAGCAGGAGAAAGCAGGGAGGCCCAGGGAAAATTCTGGAATATGTCCCCGGTGGGATCTTCTTTCTCGTGAAACTTACGCCTGGAAATCAGGGCTTCTAGGGACTGAGGAGGACGCTTCCCCATTTGTTGCAGATGCCAAGTAGAAGGTGGTGCCAAAGAGATTGGTGGCTTTTGTCTGGGGGAGGTAGTCGGGGGGCGTGCGCCAGGGTCACAGAGCCCTCGGCTGCCTGTCTCAGGAGGGGAGTCTCCCAGCAGGCAGCTGCTGAGCCCTGTGGGCCTCAAGCTGGCTGGTGCTAAGCCCCTTCCCTGTGGGCTGACTAGAGAAGTGGAGGCCGAGGGGGCAGCAGGGGAGGACCGAGGAGGGGAGAGGGGTCTCGCGGTCAGCACGTGACGACACGAGTGCGTTACTGTCTGTTTTTCTCTCTAGACCCCAGAGCCTTCCTGCTATCGAACACTCTTCTAGAAAGCGAACTTCCCCCAAAGAGCATCCAGGACCTCTTAGCTTTTGAGACAGGCCTGGGAGTGGTTGGCTGGTGGATGCGCCCGGGACTCTTGGTGAGTCGCTAGGGCGCGGACTGGAACCGCAGGGAAGGCTGCTGGACCTTGAACCCGGCTCCCCCTCCTCCCCTCTTTGCTGGCAGCTCTGGGAAGGCCTAGAGGGGAACACCCTCCACATCCAGCGCAGGAAGGTCTGTGTCAGGAGCAAGGGAAGGAACGGTTCGGCAGGGCCGGCTGGGAAATGTTCCGCAGGAAAACTGCCATCAGTGGTCTTCACGTGCCCGGTGACCTAAGTATGCGTGAAGGACATCTTGGAGGAGGCTTGGGGTTCTGGTCGCTGCTCTCTGCTTGGCCAGAGTTGCTGTGGCTCTGGAGGGTCTTTCAGAGGAGTCGTTTTTTAGGAAACTTGCAGGATCCCCTCTGTGGGGTTAGGGCTGTGTGATCTGAAGCGAGCTGGCGGTTTCCTTTGGTCAGGGCAACGGCAGACCTAGGATTCCGGCGAGAACCGCATTTCTAGCCAGGCCCTGTTCTGATCCCAGGAGGTGAGGAATCTGAATTTGTCTCTGGGCATTTGTCTGCTTGCTCCCAGGGCTTCCCTCCCGCAGGAGCTGAGAGGGTGTTGCGAAGGACCGGCCTGGAGCTGGCATGGCCCGAGGCGGGGATTAACCCCAAATGTTTGCAGGACCCTGGAGGAAAGGGGGGAGATCCATGGAAAGGATAGACTCCACGGTTCTAGCAGAAGCTCTTGAATCTTTACGTTTTGGTAAAGGAAACCTGGGTGTCTTTGGGAAGCCAGGCAGCCCCTCGTGTCCCCGTGTGTCCTCAGAGACCTGGCTGAGGCGGGCCTTTTAGCTTGGTGACCTCTGGCTCCTGGCAGACCCTGGGCAGTAGAGTTTCGGGGGTGGGAGAAACAAGGAGTCAGGAAAAGAACGGAAGGGCCCTTTGCTAGTCGTGACTGGCTGACTCGCCCGAACGGAGGCCCATGGACTTCTGGAACTCTGGTAACTGGAAAACTCCCCGGTTCCGCTCTGCCCCAGGGCCGAGGGAGGGCGGCTTCCCCCCGACCCCGACCCCAGTGTGGCCGGCCTCCAGCCCGCCACCTGAGGAGATGAGCAGGGATCGAAAGCCTCACCGCAGTCCCATTTCACTTCCCAGACCGATTCGGCTGCCCAGCTCTAGAATTCACCAACCAACCAAAATGCCGAAATTTCTTAGAATACGCAGAGGGAGGAGGTGACTCAACAAGGTGCTAAAACATTTTATTAAAAATATATATTGTTAAATTAAGTCTGCTGTCTGGACAATGACTGTTTGTTTTGTTTTCTTGTAGTGGAGTTTAAAAGAGACTATTATTTTACTCTGATATATTATTATTAAAAAGGCATTTTAACTTTGTACTTGAAAACTAAATGGGCGGTTTCATGTGTTTTAGCTGAGGCATTGAAGTAGCGGGTGCTTACTATTTGTGGGAAATCATGTATTCATACTGAAGAATAAACTCCGTAGCTGATTGGGTGATACCTTTTACTGTTAAAGACGATTTCGCTTTGACCCCCGCGGCAGAGCACTTTTATTCCACATTCCACGCAGCTAAATGCAGGACTTCCTCCCCGGCCCCCCCCCCCCAGCCCCTTTTCTCTTCACTTCCTCTTTTTTCCTTTCTTTTTTTTTCCCCCCTTCGGTTTTGTTTGTTTGTTTGTTTTCCTGGTTCCAGCACCCTTTCACCACTGTATTTTTTTTTTTTAGGGTTGCTTCTCTATTTATTGACAATAATAATGTACATTTCACAGTCTGGTTCTGGGACACCTGAGGAGGGGCGCAGGAGAGGGCCCCCGAGGGGGTCCATCCCCGTCCCCCCGGTGTTCTGTTGTATCTCTGTGTAAGTGATGCTCGTGACATAGCTGTTTATGAAATAATTAAAGAGGTCAATGCGTACAGCAGATGTAGAAAGTCTGTCAGTTCCGCCTTCATCACATTTTTTTGTGCCCAGAAGAATATAATA